CCACCTATCCCCTCCTCCCACCTCAAGCCGCACCTCCATCTCCTACCAACCAACCTCATCCCGCCCCCTTGACCTGTCCGTCCTCCCTGGACTGACCTATCCCCTTCCTAACTCCCTACCTACACTCACCTTTACTGGCTCCATCCCCGCCTCTTCGACCGATTTGTTTCCTCTCCACCTATCCTCTCCTCTATCCATCTTCTATCCGCCTCCCACTCTCTCCCTATTTATTTCAAAACCCCCTTCCCCTCCCCCTTTTCTGATGAAGGGTCTAGGCCCGAAACGTCAGCCTCTCTGCTCCTATGATGCTGCTTGGCCTGCTGTGTTCATCCAGCCCTGCACCTTGCTGTCTCGGATTCTCCAGCATCTGCAGTTCCTACTATCTCCCTCTAAACCCTTCCTATTTATATATCCATCTAGATGCCTTTTAAATGTTGTAATTGTACCAGTCTCCACCACTTCCTCTGGCAGCTCATTCCACACACGCATCACCCTCTGTGTGAAAAAGTTGCCCTTGGGTCCCTTTTAAATCTTTTCCCTCTCACCTTAAACCTGTCCCCTCTAGTTTTGGATTGCCGTACCCTGGGGAAAAGACCTTGTCTGTTCCATCCATGCCCCAATGCTTGGTGTGCATTTCCTGCAATACAACAGGTCACTGCACTTCAAATGCATCCTATTGGCTGGAAAGCACCTTTAGGTTCTGTAAGGGGCTTTAAACATTGAGATATTTCTGCTGATGAGCTATTATTCGTAATGATTAATTAACAGTTGATTGAATTATTAATAACGTTGAGCAGAGGACTGGATGGTTGGTGCTGTTGGGTTTTCCTGACAATATACAGACTGCCTGGTCTTAGTGTTGTTGTAATTGGCTGACCTCAGGGCTGTTGTTCCCGCTCTAAGTGCTCGAGGCTGCTATTGTTCATATCGTCCCCCTTCGAGAATTCTGCAAAGGGAATCACTGTCTAAACGTAGCAAGAGCTCACACCTTGAGACCCCACCACCACTTCCCACTGCTCTTTTACCAACAGAGCATAGACCTGGGCACTTACTACCCATCGATGAGAGATAGGGGCCACTCCCCCCTACCTGATGCCAGTCCAGCATGGTGAACTGGGCTCCAGTACCCACCCGCTGGCATCAGCTTGAACATACAAACATTTGGGATAGGCTCAGGAGGAGGTTGTTCGGCCCCTTGATCCTAACCTACCATTCAATGCAGTCACGACTGATTCATCACCTCATCCCCATCTTCCTACGCCATCCCTTAACTCTCTAATGTTTCAACAACAGCATGAAGCTTCCGTAATTGTTGGTCTTCATTCTAAAACACCACCAATCTCCATTTTGAACACACATCAATGCACTCACAGCACTTGGAAGTAGAGAATGGTGGAGGTTCACCACCCTCTTGAAGAAATTTCTTGCCATCTCCGTCCTAAACCGCCGACCCCTTATCTTGAGAGTGTGACCCTGTGAAAGGTTATTGGGGGTAGCTGGGAATGTGGAGTAAGTTAATAAGATCAGGGCTGATTAAATGGTGCAGCAGGCCTGAGGGACTGAGTGGCTCCTAATGGATGTGCCCATGTATAATCTCTCAGTGTCTACACTGGGAAGATGCCTAAGAATCTTAAGTTTCAGTGGGATCATCTTTCATCCTTTTAAACTCCAGGGAATGTAGGCTCAGCCTATTGAGTCGGTGCAGTGAAGGCCAGGAGCTCTTGTAACTGAAGGTGCTATGTGATAAAATTCCTGTTGCACCCTTTCCTGGAGGGTTGACTTTATGAGCAACTCGTGACATGAACTCTTCCTGTGTCTTGCAGCCGGCCGAGCCAGGAATCCATCAGCAGCTGCAGAGACACCATCCCTATCCCTGTGCCTACGCAGATTCTCAATTACCAGCGAATCGAGCAGAACCTCCAGTCTCCAAAGCCCTGCAGCTCTCCAAGGTCAGTCCTCCCAGTGAGTGGCTCAAGCACCTGTAACACACAACCAGTTCCTAGTGCTTCAGCCCAAAGCCTGCTTCAATCTGCTGGGAACCTGGTGTTACAGAGAAATCCATGCGAGTAACGCGAGTGAGAGCGAGGTTACCAAAACCATTCTAAATGAAGTTCCTGTGGGTCATTTACTGGTACCAGAGGGGAAGGCAGACATTTTCATTCATTGCTAAGTAGTAACCACAACTTGCTATAGCAACAGCTTGCGCTTTGTCCGTTTTGGGGCCAATAGAACGGAAAGTGGGCAAATCCTATTGCGGAAAGACAGTCTGCACCAGCACCACTTTTTTTCACCGATCTCCTCAGATTATTGGGCAGGGGGTGTAGATGACTGTTTCGCACTCAGCTCTGACACAGTCTTCGGAGAAAGTTAGTCACGAAGAGCAATTGGACAGACTGTGATTATTTTCTGAGGAGACTGAGGGGGTTTGCGTGATTGAGATGTATAAAATTGACGGGCGCAGACAGGGAAGAAATTTTACCCCTTGGTAGAGGGTTCAGTGATCAGGGATGTAGATTTAAGACAAGGGGCAAAAGGTTTAGAGGGGATGTGAGGAAAAGGTTTTTCACCCAGAGGGTGATGGGAATCTGGAACTCACTGTCTGTAAGGGTGGGAGAGGCAGAAACTCTCATCATATTGAAGAAGGATTTAGATGTGCCCTTGCAATGCCAAGGCATATAAGGTTATGGACCCAGTGCTGGCAAATGGGTGTATAATAGCTAGGTCATTGTTTCTGACCAGCACAGACATAGTGGGTTCGAAGGGCCTTTTTCTGAGCTGCAGATCACTATTACTCAACCTCCGCAAATTGATGAGCAGGAAAGACTGAATGGAGGGACTTGGAATGTTCCCTCTGAGCTTTGGTTCTTGTTTGTAGCCTGTTTGTTGCACAGTGGCGATCTCTTTAAGAATGTTCTGTGGCCCCGCACCTTCTTGAGGGAAATGTTGGTTGTGGGAGGGCTGTGTGTAGAACCACAGAATCCAGGCCAGTATGGGTGCAGCCCCGCACCCATATAACAGGCAGTAATATTAGGGACAGGCCTAGGGTGCTAGGCTCATGGCCCTGTGGGCTAGAAAACAGTGCTAAAAACAGGAGTCAACATGGCAGAGGAAACAAGTGTCCAACAAAGACAGAAGTTGCTGGAAAAGCTCAGCAGGTCTGGCAGCATCTGTGAAGAAAAAAACAGACTTAACATTTCGGGTCCGGTGACCCTCCCTCAGAAAGGAGTGGGGGTCTGGTAGCAAGCATTTGGGAGGGAGCATCAGGGTGCCTGGAAAGGGGCCTCTGGGAGGGGGTCTGGGAGTGGGGGTCTAGGAGAAGGCATCTGAGTGTTTGGGAAGGAGCTTCTGGGAGGGGGTGTCTGGGATGGAGCATCTGGGTGTTTAGGAGGGGGTGTCTGGGAGTGAGTGTCTGGGAGGGAGCATCTGGGAGGGGTATCTGGGTGTTTGGGACGGTGTATCTGGGACTGAGCATCTGGGAGGGACATTTGGGTGTTTGGGAAGGTTGTCTGGGAGTGAGTATCTGGGAGGGAGTATCTGGGAGGGACATCTGGGTGTTTGGGAGGGCGTGTCTGGGAGTGAGTATCTGGGAGGGAGCATCTGGGAGGGGTATCTGGGTGTTTGAGAGCGTGTAACTGGGAGGGGGCATCTGGGAGGGACATTTGGGTGTTTGGGAAGGTTGTCTGGGAGTGAGTATCTGGGCGGGAGCATCTGGGAGGGGTATCTGGGTGTTTGGGAAGGGGTGTCTGGGAATGAGTGTCTGGGAGTGAGTATCTGGGAGGGAGCAACTGGGTGTTTGGGAAGGGTGTCTGGAAGTGAGTGTCTGGGAGTGAGTATCTGGGAGGGGTATCTGGGTGTTTGGGAAGGGGTGTCTGGGAGTGAGTAGCTGGGAGGGGTATCTGGGTGTTTGGGAAGGGGTGTCTGGGAGTATCTGGGAGGGGTATCTGGGTGTTGGGGAAGGGTGTCTGGAAGTGGGAGGACGGTGGAGTTAATGATGATCAGATTAGCCAGGATCTCGCTGAATGGCAGAGTAGACTGATGTGCTATGTCTGCTCCTGCTCCTCATTGTGGTCAAATGTTTGAGAGTCTCCAACCCAAGCTAAGCTGCCCCAGGGTGGAGGGGCATAGGAGGTGTCCTGTTTACCCAGCACACTCCTCTCCACTGAGGCAAGACTTTACCTACAAAAGGCCAAAGAGATTAGGTGATGTTGGAAGAGTTGATGTTTGAGGAACGCTTGGTGTGTACAGGAGCAATGTAGGAGTTTAACTGGCTTACATCACACATTTGACCAAAGGACCACCTTTGACCCCTGAGGTGTTGGCTGGAAAAGTTCACTGGATCCAAGTGGGAGGAACCCCAATCCCCAGTGAGGAATGCTTCCCTCTGACCTCCAATTACCCACCCCAGCTGGTTGACTTTTAGTTCAACTCGTATGGAACTGCCACATATTGACCCTCCCTAATTACCCTGCAAGGTGGTCTTATGATTTAATGATCAGTCGATATCACTCCCCTTCCTGTTTTCAGATCTCTAATATCCCACAGAGGACTGAGAGAATACTACAGCACAGAAGGAAGCCATTCAGCCCATGGTGCATTTGCTAGCTCTTTGAGGGAACTATTCTATTAGCCCCAGTCCCCTACCCTTTCCCCATAGCCCTGGAAAGGTTTCCACGGCAAGGTCATATCCAATTCTCCTCTGTGAGTCACCGTATTTTCAGGCAGTGTGTTCCAGATCACAGCAGACCCCTGCTCAGAAATATTCTCTGTGTCTCCCTGTGGCTCGAGAACATAGAACAGTACAGTACAGCACGGGAACAAGCCCTTTGGCCCACCATGTCTACACTGACCATGATGCCATTTTAAACTAATCCCATCTGCCTGTACATGGTCTGTATCCCTCACACTGTACCCCCCCATTTTAGGGCTGAAGTATTTTCTCCCATGTGTCTGCCCTAACCCCCAACACACCAGGCCCTGTCATCATATGGGCTGCCACCATAAACAACCCATTATCAACTACTAACGATCCCCGTTAGCAGCTATTCATTCTCCCAAGGTCACCCATTCTCGTGTCTGTTGTTCTCTCTCTCTCTCTGGGCTCCATCTCCATCTATCGTTTACTCCTCCTCCCACCCCATCTTCAGCATATATATTAACTTTTTCCGAGCTGCAGTCAGTTCTGAAGAAGGGTCATTGGACCTGAAGCATTAGCTGTGCTTTCTCTCTGCTGAGCTTTTCTAGAACTTCTGCTTTTGTCTGGTTTCAAGCATCCACAGTTCTTCGCATTATTTTGTCCATATCCCTCTATTCCCTGCCCATTCGTGTGTCTGTCTAAATGCCTGTTAAGTGTTAGTATCGTTCGTGCTTCTACCACCTCCCCTGGCAGTGCCATCCAGACACCCACCACCCTCTGTGTGAAAAAAAACTTACCTCGCACATCTTTAAATTTTCCCCTCTCACATTAAACCTGTGCCCCTTAGTATTTGACATTTTCACCCTGGGAAAAAGACTCCGACTATCCCCTCTATCCATGCTCCTCAAAACTTTATGTACATCTATCAGGTCACCCCTTCAGCCTCCAATGTTCTAGTGAAAACAAACCAAGTTTATCCAATCTCTCCTTATAGCTAATACACTCCAATCCGAGCAACATCCTAATAATCTTTTTCTGCACCTTCTACAAAGCCTCTACATCCTTCCTGTAGTGTGGTGACCAGAACTACACACAATACTGTAAATGTGGCCTAACTGAAGTTTTATACAGTTACAACATGGCTTGCCAATTTTTATATTCAGTGCCCCGACCGATGAAGGCAAGCATGCTGTATGCCTTCCTTACCAATTTATCCACATGTGCTGCCGCTTTCCGGGAGCTATGGACTTGCACCCCAAGACCCCTCTGTGTATCAATGCTCCTAAGGATCCTGCCATTTCCCCTTGCATTTGGCCTCCCAAAATGTATCACCTCGCACTTAAAATCATCGAATCAAACACTGCAGAAGAGGCCATTCAGCCCATCAAGTCTGCACTGATACATAAGAAACAGCTGACCTCCAACCTAACCCCGTTTACCAGCACTTGGCCCTTAGCCTTGAATGTTGTGACATGCCAAGTGCTCATCCAGGGACTTGTTAAAGGATGTGAGGCAACTTTCGTCTATCACCCTCCCAGGCAGTGTGATCCAAACCGTCGCCATCCTCTGAGCAAAACGGTTTTTCCTCACATCCCTCCTTAAACCTCCTGCCCCCTCACCTTGTACCCATGCCTACTCATGACTGACCATTCAATTCAAGGGAACAGTTGCTCCTCATCCACTCTGCCCATGCCCCTCATAACCTTATGCATCTCAATCAGATCGCCCCTTGGTCTTCTCTGCTCCAACAAAAACAACCCAAGTCTGTCCAACCTTTCCTCATCACTTAACGTTTTCCATCCCAGGCAGCTTCCTGGCGCATCTCCAGATGTTTCATAAAGACCACAATCGCCACAGTGCCATTTGGTCTAGACCTCCTTTAAAGCTCACTCATGGGATGTGGGTGTCACTACTGGGCCAATATTTGATGCCTATCCCTTATTGCCCTTAAACAGAGCAGCTTGCTAGGCCCATTGCAGGGGGCAGTTAAGAGTCAACCACATTGCTGTGGGTTTGAAGTCACACATTGGCTAGACCAGGTAAGGACGGCAGACTTGCTTCCCTAAAAGTCTGGCAGAATTTGGTCCTTTGGTGAACTTTTGGGAAGAAGGGGAGAATTACGCAGCAAGCTCTTAATAATCTGAAATGCACTGCCACTGGAAACAGATAAAATAGCAACTTTCACAAAGCATAGGATGTGTAGTTAGAGAGGAGAAAAGGGCAGGGCTGTGCAGGGAAATAGTGGGACTAACTGGATAACTCTTTCAAAGATGGGCAGAGTGGGTATGATGGGCAGAGTAGCCTCTAATGCCCTGTATTGCTCCATCAGTTTCTCATACTGGTAATGAAAGATCTGGGCCATGAACAGGGAATCCAAACATTTAGCCACATTGTCTTCCTTTAATTCCCCAACTTTCTAAGTTTCACTGTTGAGAGCAATTCTTCAGAATTCAAAGTCTAAGGAAAGACAGGGCTTCTTCAATTCCTGGTCTGACTCAGAGTTACGTTTGTTTATTCCCTCAGGCTTGGGAGGGTTCGAAGGCCAGGCAGTACCAGCCCCTTGGGTTTCAACAGAACAGGGCCGTCCCCTCCATGCCCTGGAGAACAGGCATCGAACCCATTTCGAAGGTCATCTTCCGGAAGCTTGAAACCTTTCTCGCTATCACCACAAGGTAGGCCGTCGTTAAAATCAGCAGCCTTGACATAGATAGTTAATGGGTTGGAAATGCTCAGGAGGCATAGGAACAGTAGTAGGCCATTCAGCCCATCGAGGCTGATCTGTGGCCTAACTCCTGCCTTTGGCCCACATCCCTTATTACCCCTTTGCTTAACACAAACATACCTATCTCAGATTTAAATCTAACAGTTGATCCAGCATCCACTGTGAAACAACTGCACAGAGGCCAGATTCCCATCACCATGTCACCCTTTATTTACATGTGCTCAGTACATGGACTCTGACCAGCTAGCTCAGAGCCCGTCCCTAATGAGAGGAGACTCTCTGAATCTCCTGTTTAGATCTGACAACCAGGCCTCTCTGGCCCAGGTTAACAAATCCAGTCAGAGCGAGTAGTCAATGAGATCCACCTGTCCCTCATTCCAATCACTACACACTGTCATTTGTGGAAGAAAGTTCAAACATCTACACCATTTGCATGTCGAAGTGCTTCCTAACATCTCTCCTGAACGGTTGGCCCTAATTCTCAGACTATGCCCCTAGTTCTAGAATCCCCAACCAGTGGAAGTTGTTTAACTTTATCTACCCTGTCTTTTCCTGTTAATATCTTGAAGATTTCAATCAGATCACCCCTTAAACTTCTAAATTCTATTGAAAACAGGCTGAAATATTGTAATCCTTCTTCATAACGTAACCCCTGAAGTCCAGGTATCATTCCTGTAAACCTACATTGTGATCCCTCCAAGGCCATTCCATCCTTCCTAAGGTGTGATGCCCAGAATCTGCTCACAGAGCTCCAAGTGGGGCCTAATCAGTGTTTTGTGTAACTGTAACATAACATCTGCATCCTTGTACTCCACTATATGTAAAGGCCAGCACTCCAATTGCTTTCTTGAGTCTCTCCATCGGTGTTTGGTTGAGTGTACTTGGGCTGGATTTGACTACCTGGCGAGGAGTTGAGGGTGGGAGTTTATACCGTAGTGAGGGAGGGCGAGGGGGTGGAGGAGGAGCCAACATTTCCTCAGTGCCACCTTGCCAGTGTTGGGAAGGTGAGAACAGACCTCACAAATTGAGGCAAATTGAGTGACCCCAGTGTTTGTTTGACTAGCAGCAAGGTTTGGGGTGGAGGGGGATGTGGTCTGAGTCACATGGGAAGCTGGTAGGTAAACCCTGGAGACTCCCAGCAAACCCATTGTGGTGGGGGGTGACACTGTCTTCTTATTCTGACACTCTGTGAACCACGGCAGCAATGGCATGTCTTGCCTTCAGTCACTCTATACCCAGCCCCTCACCAGCAATGGCCTCCAAACCACAACACCCTGTTGTTGAAGGCTGTCACCTCTCAGAGCAAGCCTTCCTTCCATGTGCTGTCCCAGTAGTGTGATCTGCTCCCGATGGTATCCTCTGATGGGTTGGGAGGGGTGGAGGGAGGTAGACCACTGTCAACACCTGTTCCCCCAATACCCTCCATCCCCAAACTACCTGTCAATAGCCGCAGCTGAGGGGAGGTGCCCTGAGGGTCGCAGGTTACTCTAAGGCATTCTCCATCCTATGTTCAAACCTTCTTGTGGGAATCTCCCTGCTGTCCAACAGCTCCCCCCTGCTCTCCAATTCAAGCTTGTGGTGAGGGTTACAGAATTCAAGATTACCTTTAGGGTTCTAGAATTTAAGGTTAGGGTTGGGGTTCTAAAATTCAAGTTACAAAAGTGATCATATTATGAGGTTTAACCTGCACTTCATTTTGCACCGTAAAGGTGCAGATTAATTGTGAAAACTGGGCAGCATGGTCAAGTTGGGCCAAAGGCCTGTTTCCATGCTGTAAACCTCTATGACTCTAATCAACCAATCATCCAACACCATGCTGCTTTTAAATGTTCATTGACGGGAGTTATATAGTAAAGAAACATTGAGGACTGTGATGGCCCAGGATCTAAAATATTTATTGTTGTTTTCCTCGCGCCACTGAGTAATTTTTCTCAAAATTCACAACCCTGGAAATGTTTTATCTTTTTCTGTGTTCAAGTTGGCACAATCCCTGAGCAGTTGGATCATTTTGTCAGTGCCACTCCTATTGGATCAGAGACACGGGTCAGACACACATTGCCAGGTGAGCAAATCCCTCAGCTATCAATCTCGTTGGCAGAGAATTTCACAAAATGTTTATGGGATAATTTCCAAGATTCTAAGTTTCTGTTTTAGAGCCAAGCAGATAGATGGCGATACTAGACTTGCAACAAATTAGGATTAATGAATGACCTAATAATGAAAGCAGGTCTGGAATGTGGAGGGAACTGATTGTCCAAGTGTGTAATTACAGAAGGTTAGAATGCAGCACGTGATTAGAAAGTTAACAGAATGTTATCGGTTCTTGCCAGGGGAATTGAATACAAACAAAAAAACATTGTACTTCCATGATACAGGGCATTAGAGGCACCAGTCTAAAGTACTGCTGACACTACTGGTCTCTTTATTAAAGGAAAAATGTAAATGTGAGGGAAGCAGTTTAGAGAAGAGTTACCAGACTAATGTCTGGAATGAGAGATAGTAGGAACTGCAGATGCTGGAGAATCCGAGACAACAAGGTGCAGGGCTGGATGAACACAGCAGGCCAAGCAGCATCATAGGAGCAGAGAGGCTGACGTTTCGGGCCTAGACCCTTCATCAGAAAAGGGGGAGGGGAAGGGGGTTCTGAAATAAATAGGGAGAGAGTGGGAGGCGGATAGAAGATGGATAGAGGAGAGGATAGGTGGAGAGGAAACAAATAGGTCGAAGAGGCGGGGATGGAGCCAGTAAAGGTGAGTGTAGGTAGGGAGTTAGGAAGGGGATAGGTCAGTCCAGGGAGGACGGACAGGTCAAGGGGGCGGGATGAGGTTGGTCGGTAG